ACTCTTGGGCTCAAGCAATCCTCTTGCCTCAGCGTCCCAAGTAGCTGGGACTACAGGAGCCCACCACAACGCCCAGCTATTTTTTGGTTGTAGTTGTCATTGTTGTTTGGCAGGCCTGGGCCAGATTCAAACCTGCCAGCTCTGGTGTATGTGGCTGGTGCCTTAGCCACTTGACCTACAGGTGCCACCTAATCTTGAGTTTTGAACGTGAGCATATGATCTCATCCCTTATAACCATCCCCTTCCATTAGAATGTCTGAGCCCAGGATGTGGGAAGATGAACACAGCCTTGTCTTATCTCCCTGTCACTGTCCCTTGGCTCTAAAATGTATTCAACAAGTATCAGTTGAAACTGACAGGTGCCTGACCCCGTTTCCAACATTGGAAACATCACAGTGAGGGCACTGCAGTCCCTGTGTCACCATGCACTAGAGAAAACAAAGGAAATTGGAGAGGGAAGCTCAGGGTACTACAGGGGCGCCAATAGAAGGCACCAGAGGCCAGACTCAACCTGCAATCCCAGCACTTTGGGAAACAAGGCAGGAGAGATATAAACCTGGGCAACATAGTAAGACCCTATCTCTACCAAAAAAATAGGAAGAATTAGCTGGGTGTGGTGGCATGAACATGCAGTCCCAGCTACTCTGGAGGCTGAGGCAGGAGGATCACTTGAGCCCAGGAGTTTGAGGCTGCAGTGAGCTATGAATGCACCACTGCACTCCAGCCTGGGTGACAGACTCCAGCCCACTGTCTCCAAAAAAAAGGTGGAGTGGTGGAGTGGTGCAGCAGAGCCTCAAGAGAGGCTTTCTGGAAAAATGATGTCTGAACTGAAACTTAAAGGTTGGAAAAGGAAGAGGAGTGAGAAGAAAAGAGAGGTGAGGGTGTGAGGCAGAGAGAAGGTGCCGCCGAGGCTGAGAGGAGAGCAGGCAGTCGGGTCCTTGTGTTTGGATGAGACACTGAGATCCAAGAGTGGATTTTTAGAGATGAGACTGAAAATCCATGGAGACCAAATCGGAAAGCACTGTGAAAGCCATGGGAAGGCTTCATTCTAAAGGCAATGGGAAAACCAGGTTTAAGAGCAGGGCCTAGTAGCTGGGCATTGTGGCCGGCGCCTATAGTCCCAGCTACTTGGGAGGCTGAGGCAAGAGAATCTCCTAAGCCCAAGAGCTGGAGGTTGCTGTG